AGCCTCGACAAGCAGACCGGATAAATTATGCGATATAATAATATTGTAGTAACAATAAAGACCTTATTATACGTGAAATCGAGTAGATACAATAAAGAGCAGCATTACGTTAAATAATACGTATTTGAAACTGTGTTTAACGAGCGAGGCACACCGATTAAAAAAACATTTTACGCTGTTATAAAATATAACTTCTAACTAACTGATATAATCCATCTAGAATCTACACGAATCGAGCACGTTAATAGCGGCATCATGAAAATTTTCGACGCTCGTTTCCAACGGCACGAAAGAAACGAAAAGAAAAAAAAATAAATAAACCCGCTAGTCGATCATAAAAATTCGGTCGCGCTTAACGACCGTGAAAAAAGGGGACGCAAAATTCGGACAAGTGGGACGAGCCAGTCGAAACGCGCGGCTAATTCGAGCCCAGGCTACGGGAATCTGTTTTCTTTTTTCCTTATGGAGAATTTCCAAAAGGGAATTGGAAAAATGCGTTCTTATCGTGGACATGGAAGTGCCAGGCGACGTTTTTACCGTCTCTCTCGCCCTGTCGCCGGTTGATCGATCGTTCCTCATTTTTCATCCGGTTTACGCGAATTTTTCTAGCTGTTTTTCCTCGCAGCCGACAAATTTTCGAAATGGATTATCGACGAGAGTTGGTTTTAGTTGATCGATGGGCGGATCGTGAATACCGAATGCACGGAAACGACCGCGAATTGTTTTTCGTGATGAAAATTGTGGAAATTCTCGTTTTAGTTTCATTATTAGCAGTGAATTATAGTAAACCGGAAAAAATAAATAAACATATGATAAAAGAGAAGAAGACAGAAGAACCAACCGAAAGGAAGAGTTGTGATGAATCTATCGACATTAATCCGAGGTAAAATGATTGCACTAAACCTTCAGGAAATTCCGATAGTTTTATCGATAAATTCTACGGTAGTTTTTCATGAAAAGGAAAAAAAAGGGAGGAAATGGAGGTAACGTGTATCCCAGTGTCGTGACTGTACTGTAATGGGAATTTTTAAGAAAATATATCGTTCGCCATGGAATATACAGTGGGACCCATACTAGAAAGTTCGTTGTTCAAGCTTTACCACGGTTTTCTCGTCGGCCGGCAATATTTTTCTCGGGTTGCATTGAATCCTTTGTTTCGGACAGTGATTAAAAGTGTACATGCGAAAAATGACAGGCTACTGCGATCGGGATAATTACAATGAATTTTTCAGAGAATGCGTTTTACATGGCGGAGCACGTCGTGTTAATTACGGTACTGAAATTTGATTCGGGTTCCACGACTACATTACGTTATTATAGTAGATACGGAAATAGGTTAACCAGAAATTTGTTATTCAAAATTTAAAGGATGTAAGTAAAGTTCAGTATAAAGTCAGAAAATATGAAAATATGGGTGATAATACCGTTTTTATTGTAAAGGTAGTTATCATCGTCTATTTGTAAAAAAAAGAAAACAGTTTTTTGATAATACTTAACCGTTAAGTCTTAACGCAGCGAACGCTCACAAAAGCGAAACCGCGACTGTTCGATGAAAACCGAAACCATTCGCTCGTCGAAAGCATTTCTAACGAAACGAAAAAGGAAAACAACAGAAAAAATGTTAAACACCATTGATGTTCGTCTCTATGGGTAATCAAATGAACCGAGGGAAAAGCAAAACAAAAAGGACCGTTTAAAGACGAGTCGCCGGGACAAGTAAAAGAAAAAAAAGAAAATGGTGCGCATGGGGTCGATTTTTCAAATCAATGCTGATCTCACGTTTACCAATGGCGTACCAACCCATGACCCTTAACGGTTAGGGTTCAGTTTGGTCGGTCTCGAGAATCGGGAATAAAACACGTTCGAAAAAAACAAACACAAAATGGGTGGTGGGGGAAGAAACGAGGAGAAAAAAAAAATAACGCTCGACGGAAATGGCATCGGCAATTCGTTTTCGTTCCGGACGAGTCGGTCTTTGTGTATTAAAATTTACGGACGAATTGCAATCTATGGGACGACTAGCTTCGTCCCTCTTTCTCTCGCCTCTCCAAATATTTACCAACGATATTCATCCCGGGATAAATTGCGTTCGACGCGTTTTCAAAATTAAAATGATGACACCCCCACCTCCCTGCGTTTCCTCGACATTCACGGTTTTTATTGAAAAAACCGTGTACGGCGGCCGGGAATGAACGCGAAACGGCGAATAATCGAGTTTCCCGGTTCAATTTCGACCGATTGATCAACGAACAGTGACGAGATTAAGGAGGATTATGGCGTCCCGTAGCGAGCACATCGTCAGTCATTTTTTGTTGTTTTTAATCGCGGAAGCTGAAGGATAAGCTGAAAGACGAAGTATTTACTGCGAATTTTTGCAATATTTTCCAATACCGTCATCGGATATAGGGGTATGTAATGATATGAGGAGGATAATGTCGTCACGAAATTTCAGAAATTTCTTTAGACTTTACAACAAATTTGTGTTAGACAAAATTTGAATTCTATATTTGTGCGCAAATCAGAGTTTGTATATCTGCAGGTTCTTCGGGGATATGAGTGTTGCAATGTTTTGCTTTCCTATTACATTTAAATACTGATGTTGGAGTGAAATTGCGGAAATACTGAATTGAAGCAGAGTTTAAATTGTACTTACATATGCCGCCATAGAACACAGTTGTCCGCGCCAATTCCTGCCTGTCACGGGACGTTACGAAAAACAGCATTTCCGTCTCCACTGCGATTATTTGTGACGCAAATCCTGGAGCTTGATGTGTAACACTGCACCAGTAATGCACTCGCGTGTAGTTTAAACTTCTAATCTATAATAATCTTCAACAAACTTTACAATTCAACACAATTTTGTCACTCGGTGTTGTTCAACCGTTCAACCGCGCACAACTGACGAATCTGCTGCGCATGTGCAGGTCAGAGGTGGAAGACTAAGGGCCCATCCGCAGCGCCCTCTCTGTAGTGGGGATGTTCGATTTTCTTCAAAGAATCGATTCTCAAAATGATTCTGAATTGAATCATGGAGAATCGATTCAAAAATCGTGATAAATTTCATATTAGATTAATTCTTGATTTCAAGGCATATTTTTCATGATGTATATATATATATATATATATATATATCTTCTCTTATATGTGCCAGACATAGATGTGTAATTTTATAAATTTTAAATTCTATAAATGTTAGAGTCTATAATGCTAAACGAGTTTTTTATAGCATCATTTATATTAAAGTATTTATGTCTTATTGCCTTGCGTATGAACACCAGCGATCTCGAAGTTAAAAATTAAAATTAAAATTTACTAGTTTTTGTTATAGAGTTTCCACCTTCGTGTGCCTGTGACTATGCCCACAATCAGTTTTCGATTCTGAGAGTAAAGAATCGATTCTCACAAAAATCGATTTTTCAAAGAATCGAATCGGAATCGAACATCCCTACTCTGTAGTCATGCATCCATTTGCTCGCCAGGAGACGTTTCCGCCACGCGATTCTCACAATCAGAATCATGGACTGCAAGTTCACCGGTTAATTAATGCAGAGTAAGTATATTTTTTGCTGAATTATAACCTTATTAAAGGGGTTGACTTCGGGAAACCGAAATTCGAAAGATTCCCCCCCGAAAGTCTTCACTTCTTTGACTGGTCTTTTCCTTCAACCAGTAGCCTTGCTTAGACACGCTATACTCTAAGAAGAGTTAAACAACCACTTGTGTCAGAGTAAAAAATAGTTCGTTAATATAATTTAACAAGGAAAGCAAGCGTCTATTGCTTTCCTTTCTTGACGCTAAGTTACAGACCACTCGTATTAGAGATGAATTTAAAATTTTCATTTACTAGCCAACTCAGTGGAGAATTTTCGAAGCTCTGGTGTTTTTGAGTATGTACCTTCAATTGAGAGTAAGTGACTATTTCCAAAACGATAACGAAAAATAACATTCAGTGGGTTATAAAAAAGTGTTACAAAGTAATCGTTGTTGAATTATTCATCTCTGAAACGAGTCGTTTGTAGCTAAAGGTCATGTCTCATATTGACGACGACTACGTGACCATTAGGAAACATTTAAAATAGTAATGATTACGTGCTCGTCACGTGACGGTGCTCTTATTGGTCCATTTTCAAATGAACAGGTGCGTGCCAAGTTTATAAAAGTTTAGTTTTCAGCGAGAACGCATACATTATCTTTTCTCTACAAACACCATACTGCCATAGTATGCTCCCGTAAAAGTCAAATAGTTTTCTCGTGAACGTGCTATCTTTAACCGCAATAGATAATATACACTGATAATAATAGCGGATACGTGCTTTACGATCAGGATCATTTCAAATAGGCACGCTCCTGTCACCCGCAAAATGGACCAGTGAGATGTCCATCACGTGACGATACGCGCCGCCATTGTTGTTTTTCCAACTTGTTCCTCGAGTAGAAAAATATGATTCAAAGTGAGAGGTCCAGCACATTTCATACCCAATATTCCAGTGAATTTGCCTTTGTCCAGGTGTCGAAAACCCGTGCAGTTTATTTCCCCGTTCGATTTTACGACTGAGTCGTATCTGTCGCAATCTGCGTACGTCCTCCATCGGCTGCAGGTGAGTATACACAGTTCTTACACACTTTGTATAGTCTAGGAACGCTCGCACAATACATAATAGCCGTTTGTTTACCTCGACACCGGGGAATGTTTAACCGTGTGGCAGCCGATCTGTCCCCTGCCGTCGATAAAACCCCTTAACAGTGGCGGCCGATGGCAGTCCGACGCCGGCCGTCGTTGCGAGTGGATACGTCGACGCTCGTCCCACTTCCGCTAACCGGGAAACGACGGGTCTTCCTAGCTGCGTCGCATCTACACGGAGAGCCAGCCGGCCGGTCGAACCTCCGATGATCGTGAAACGATTTCTCAAGTGCGTGACTCTCGCGAACAGTGTGTAACGACGTGGTGGTGATGTGTGTGTCGTTAAATGGGATTTTAATTGTCGATCGATGTTCGTTTAATATCAAATTTTCGTACAATTCGAATATCGAGTGCGTCGAGCCGAAATCACGCGTGGGGTATTGTCGGACGTTTGTGAAAATTAGAAGTGGGGGTTAGGTTGGCGGGGCATGTTGTTGCAGTGGCGAAGTATCGGGAGTTGAATTTGTGCGGAGGAATGTAAGTTTTCTTTTTAAATTTGTTAATTGGAAATTGAGGTATTGAGTGATTTTTTGGGAGAAATTTAGATGAATTGGGGATTGGAGGTTAAGTTGATATATTGAGGAGAGGTTTAGGGTATCCTTGAATATCGAAGGAGTAATAATCATATACATATTTAGGTTATGATTGATGTGGTTTAATAATGGATTGCTACTCACAGATTGGTGGATTTCTGATTGCTATTCTGTGAATGAAAGTTATTAACGGTGATTGATGATTTTATATTAAATTACAGTCTTTATTTTGTTCTTTTGAAGACTCTAGCGTTTTTGTTTTGGAATGGGTAATTGTTGTAACGTTTGTTATTGATTTGAATATTAAGTCGCTATTTATAGAGGCAATTTCACAATACTCGGGTAGTCGAAATATTACGTTTGAAAACAGACACACTGTTATTTTGTTTTGTAGGATGACAACATTGTTTAATTCCGAAATATCTTCCAGCCTTCTGCTTGATAATAATAGCGTTACGGGAAGCCGTGTAATCGTTTTTCTGGTAAACAGTATCAGACAGTACACTTATAGTGCTTTCGAACGCCTAAAGTGCTGATAATTTCTGTGGTGTATATATATTTCTTTATACAAGTTGTAGTAATTTGGTATTGTTTCTACTCTAATTGTCAGTCACATTTTCCAGTATTTTACTATTGAAAGCACTTATACATACATTTACGTAAATTATAGTTTGTGGACTATTCAGGATAATTATTAAAATAATTTTCATAATGACCCTGATGTCAAAATAAACAAGTCAAGACAGTTTTCAAACAGACACCCATCGATCGAGAATGTTTTCAAACAATCGGTTTCAAATTTGAAAATTTCAAAATACAAATCTGCCATTTAATCGTTTGACTGTAAACTTTTCAACAAATTTCCATTTTTACAGAAATCACTGCACGTGTACGGACTTTATTCTTCTTATTCTATAAGAAGTAGAATCGGCAAAGAAGCAGGCAGGTTCGTCGTTTTTCACGCAACGACCCGGTACGCGGGAAAATTCGAAAAATCTTCCTGTCACGACGAGACACGTTTTCTCTCGGAAAGTTCTCGGGAAGTCGTCATTTCGTCGCACAGGAAACGGAATCTGTTGAATATTTGATGGAACCTCTTGTTCGGTCGTTCACGGCGTGAAAAATTAAGGGAATCACTTTCGTGACGACGTTCCTGTCCGCGGAACCGTCGAAGGTATACAAGTCGTACACACGGAAGCGTGCAATTCCCGTATGAGCCGGTCACGAATTATCGTAATTGACATTCGTTCCTTGTGTACAAGTTATCTGGACGCGAGATAAGGCGACTGTTATCGAGCGGACCATTTAAACGGACGTGAACGTTTCTTCTATTGAGCGCAATAATACGCCCGCGCGCGGCTGGACACGATCGGTGGATCAATGTTCGAGTGGTCGAAATTGTTTCCTTCGTTCTCAGGTGCGAGGCGGAGTGAAATCGATAGAAAATCTCTCGTTAGTTAGCTTGGATTATTAAAATACACCAATCTTTCAGTGTTATTTAGAGACTTTTCATTCAGAATTTAATGTATTCGAGATTTATATAGTACCTACTGAACATTCAGTATTGAACATTCATGTTGAAGATTCACTAGAATGAAGGTATACTACATAGAATGAAGGTTCACTAGTTGAAGGTTTACTAATTGGAGATTCACTATTAAGTGTTTTTAGACACTCCAATCTAAACTTTTGAATAATGTAAAAAAATAGGAGAAAGGGACTAAAACTGTGCAGTATGTATGTTAAATTGTCCCAGGTAGTAAAAATATTAACGAATAGATAATAATTTAGTTAATAACAATGTTTGGTGATTTTATAATTTCACATATTCATGATTTTTTTCTTTATAATTTCATAAATTCTTCAATTGTGATTAGGAAAGCAAGTACATTCTAGATTGTTTATTTTTATTTTAATATTATATTATCTTTTAACATTGTATTGTTCTGGGGGGTCGACTTGAGTTTAATATCTTCAGCCCGACAGTTAGATGGTATTTAGAATACACCCGTAAAGGGACCACAATAAAAATGGTCGTCCTTTGAAATTCCTCTGAAAAGAACGAAAATTCTTTTCACAGCAACTCTCGATACTTCTCCCAAAAAAATTAATAAAAAAATTACGTGAATCTGAATAGAGGAAGTGAAGGATCGTTCGTGACGCGATCATCTTTCGTGACATTGTATCGGATGACTAAGAACTAACGTGGACACATGAAGATAAATCGACGCGGGTGTGAATGATCGACGATACACGCGAGTGCTTAAACGACTTTGTGGTGGGAGCAGAGAAAGAGGACGCCTGAAAAAAACATATTTCCAACTGGCTGGATCACAGGGTGGCAGACTAATTAGAGGTGTAATTTCGATTTTGCTGCCGAGTCGACAAGAATCCTGTGTTGGGGCACCGGGGGTAAGTCTGAAATTTTTCTTGATACTTGCTAATGAGTTTTTAAGTATGCACCTACCCCTCCCCGTCACAATGCAGAGCGAACCCGCGAGTTAACACGATTTCATTCCTTTCTCCCTAACTTTTTCCCCAAATGGAACGCAAGCCACGTGAACTGTTTCACCTTTGATATCCCCGTTAATTGAATTATTTTTCTTGTAATATAAAATATTTGTAGAATTATTCTTGATACTTCATACTCCAGTTTGTGCAAATCTTTCGATGCAAATGAGTCCTAAATATAATTTTGTTTTTACTGAATGTTCGTTTTGATTCTGTCGTTAATATAATTGGGACAGATAGGACACACGTTTGTGAATAATAATGGTTTTGATGATTAATTAATGTAATTCAAAGTAATTTCGTTATAGAGTATTCGTGAAAGGGAGGCTCTTGATGTATATGGAAAATACCATGAGATGAAAATTTGAGGAAAGTAATTACGTGGAACATTTAGTAGATGAAAAATATGTTACATTGAAAAATATAAACTCGATATTCACTTTTTTTTAAGGAAATTTACATAATTATAGAAAATATAAAAAATTTCATTACTCTTCGTTAAAAATGGATAACATTCACAGTCTGGTTTTACGGAATACACAGTGGCAAAAGTTCATTATATTAGAATATTTTAGTACACGGTGCAGTAATAAATAATTCCACGATTTTGATCAAATTTCTCTTTTTCTTTTCAATGGTTAGTATTTTTTAACGGGGAAATAATGGTATCTATTGTCACGTAACATTTTTCGTTTCATTTCGCGTGCACGTATATTCGTTGAAATATCACTTGCATTTATGAACCATACTACACGAAGTGTAATTAATCATTAACGATGGTACAAAAAGGATTAGGGGAAGTAACAGTGCGCTGGCGCCGCCATAGAGCACCACGGTAACAGACAAGAGCACAATACCAAAGGGATTAAAGAGATAAATTATCCACTTTACAGTATTTCTTACACTATTTCACAGTGAACGTTAGGTTACTTGTTTTCATATTTATCGGTAGCATAATGCAGAAAACCTGTGATTAGGTATAAAATGTCTATATTTTTGAAATTTCTTCCATAAATAAGACTAATAGGACTATATCCCCCTTTTTTCAAATTTTTCAATTGGGTCCTACTATTATAAAATTGCATTTCTTTAAAACAATTTCAAAATAAATAATTAAAGAATATTTCTTCCAACACAAAACTGCACTGAAAAGCACATTTCGATCAGTTTATTATTTCAACAGTTACGATCTATTGAAAAAAGGTTGACACAATATTTCAAACAGTTGTAAAATCAACGATTACTCAAAGTTTCAAAAATCCTTCGAGATACGTTTATGCATCACTAAATACTACACCATATCCAAGTGCCAAAAAAATCCGAAATATTACTCCAAAAATTGTCCGATTTCGCGTGGAATAACTCTCCTTACACTTATGGTGACTACTCCAACAGATTAACCCTTTGACTGCGGCGCGATATGCGGATGTCAGTCGCTGACAAAAAATATACGAATGAAAAAAATCTAAATTCTATGTTAGATCAGTGTAATAAAGCAGTAAATGTGTTATAGTAAGAAAAATTTAAAGAGCGTATATATACGCCTTTCGTAGTAAAAGGGTTAAAAAGGTAAACGTACATTCCCACCAAATATAAAAAAAAAAACAAAAAAAAAAAGTGTCCAATTTTTCTGGCACACCTGCCAAAAGTCACTTTCCCGATTTTTCGAGAAGACGATCGGTAGGACGTTCACCTCGGTTGTATTTGACGGAACTATGTTGAAAATTCGAAACACGACCGTTTCGCGTAACTCGTCACGGGAGCCTGGTCCCGGTTATTTTTGCAACGATAAAGCGAACGTCGAGCCAGACGCACGGGAAATGCGCTCGTTAGAACGGCTTCCCCTTGGCCTGTGGCTGTGCTCTATGTGTGTATCCCAGCCCTCGACGAGTGTGACAGCCCAGGAACACTTGTTATTATGCCCGTGCATCGGACCAGGCCAGACCGTCTGCCAGATCCCGTTGCCCGGGGCATTAATAAACACGTTATCTTACGAGATCGAATAACTCGGCTGACCGATTTCGCCCCGATGAATTGACCGAGCGTGTAAAGACCGACCACGCTGGATCTGTGGATCCGTTCTCGGCCTCGTGTCCCCTATCTCATGCTGGGCCGCGTGCTGAACTGATGTCGAACAACGTGAAACAGGATTGGGTATTACAGTAAATCCACGATAAGTGTTCGAAGGCGCTGACTTTTTATTGAGCTTTAGCAGAATGATAGAATTTGAAATTCTGAAGCCAATGATATTTATTCCAGCCGCATATGGCCATTAGTTTATGAAATATTTAATGTTTAGTCCCATGGAACCTTCGAACACTCGCTAATAGAATTTTGGAGAAGAATTGAAAAGATCTGATCGAAAAGATAAGATTTGAGGTGGTTCTTTTAATTCACGAAAAATCAACCCCCAAATGTGTAGTGCTGTAGAATTTAAAGTAATACAAATTTAGCAGATTAATAGAATTTTTTAGAAGAATCGAAAAGATTGGAAGAATGTTGCTAATCAATTTTCGTTACATTTTTCTTCACGAAAAATCAATTCCGTGTTCGGTGTACCCTCAATATGGACCGCCTTCTAGAATGTAGAGCAGTAAAATTTTGTCTGCGTAACGGAACTCTCAAACGGAATTAAAAAAAAAATGTGGAAGAGTGTGGGTCAGTGATTTCTGCTGGAAACCATTTGAAAGTCTACCGGAAACCATTTGAAATCCTGCTCGAAACTCAAGCATCGTCGTCGGCACAGTTTTCGAAAATATTTTCCCGTTGGGATTCGAGTTCCCGGTTTGTTGGAGGAAATTTTATGCTTTGCCGTGGTCGGAGGGAAATAAGATTTTGCAATATCCTTGTTATTCGAAAATTATTGTTGGGCAGCGCTGGAGGAACAAACAGTGATGTGCAAATATTTTCGATAATTGTAACACGACTGTGTTTCATTGAATGAATTTCGTTTATATTTTCTACTGTTGATATTTTATGAATGATATTACAGTTTCTTTGTATTCAGGATGATTCTCTTAATTATATTTAACATTGTTGTCCAATATATTTCGTGAAATAGATTGGAAAATAAATTAATAATATACATAATCGATTCTTCTTTGCAGTCGAAGTGAAACATTGTTGTAGTTTTTAAATAGAGCTCTTGTTTTTTTACTTAACAACACACCTCACAGCAAATCCAAAATTCCTTTCAGTCTCTGGCAAACTATCAAGAATGTAAAGTAATTTCGTTCGTTCCTGAAAAGAATCGTGGTGCACGACAAGGGTATAAATAAATCGTTGTTAACTATTACAATCGTCAACGTTGCATACCAACTCACCTAGCCCAAAATTCCTACCCCACGATCAATAGCCTACATGTACAATCTTTCGGGGATATAATATTTTTCATCTTTAATCCGAAAAATTTCATACTACGTCCTCGAACGTCGACGAAAAAAAAACAAAAAAACAGGGAATCATTTCCGTTCGTAAACGTCATTTCTCTAGGATTACAATTTCGATCTCGACGAGGGGAGATTTATAAAACGGTAACTCCGTGCCTCCCGATCCTCGACCCTGTTTCGGGAAGGGAAAAAAAACACACACACACACACAGCGAATATAAGCTTCGTTTTCCCCGAGGGAGTTGAAAATTTTCGAAGGGCGAGCTTTAATGATCGTCGACGGAATCATTTCGTTCAGTTTAATATATCGTCGACGGTGAATAATTCGCGGAACGGGTTGTTTACGATGAAAATGGATTTTAACGAACCGTTGGAACAAAGGGGCTGGAGGGGGTTGGGGCGGATATGTTAAACATGGAAGTGGTTGGATCGCGGAAATGTTCATCCATGGAAAATATCAATTTTCCCAGGTCGAGCGTGATAACGGGGTGGCGTTGATACAGCGGGAAAACGTCGCTCGGGATTTTTTTTTCTCCATTCTATCGCGCCTCGATCAATCGAACGCGCACACCTCGGTCCCCGTTAAATTCCGTTTTATAATTAATCCACCAATGACAGCCCTCGCTAATTCACTGGGGAAACCAATTTTTGTTTAACGTTTTCAAGTATTTACGATCCAGCATTCCTGTCCAAAGTACAGAGTATTATTTATAATTATTTCATGAAGGATAGGTGGAAGATGAGTAAAGGTATTCTTAAAGAGATTTCGAATTTGTTTTTTTTTTTTTTGTAAAACGTAATGGTACCGTGGAATTACGGCTGCTTTCGAATTCGTGGCTCGATTTCTCAACAGGAAGCGAACTATTTTCGAATCGTTCGGTGCAGAGGACGTGCAAAAGCAATTGAACGAACCCGGTAATCCAATTCGAATTTTCCTTCGGACGATGAAAAGAACGCGCGGGGACGGGCCATTCAGAATGCTGGAAGAAAGCCGGGGAAGAAGGCTCGGTAACGAGATCACGTCAAAAATAAAGACAAGAAACCTCTCTCCAAGAAAATACCCCCCACGAACAGCCGTTTTCCATTTTCCACCGAGTTGTTTTAATTGAACGGTAGAATTAACTTCGGTCGATGTCTTTGTTTTGAAATTTCTTGTAGATTGAACGTCAAAGTTATTTTCTTAGAATTTTCCTTCGTAGGAAGGATAGAATAATCCTTGAATGGCGGTATATTGGTCTACAGTGGATGGCCAATAACATTGCACCACTGCGGTAGAAGCACAATTTGTGGAATACATTGGAAACTTTGTAGCTACACTGGAATTGTTTTAATAATTGTTTAGTACCGAAATTGCAGGCAAGATTCCTAAAAATAAAAACGAAACTCGATGAAGTGATCAATCATGTGTGGTAGTGATGGGATACGATACAAATATCGATACTTTTCGGGGATCAATATACCAATATCGAATCCCAACAGCTAACGGTCCGTTTCACTAAGAATCCTTAACGT